TTTCCTGGGCGCTGTGTGGGGGCGCGCGCGCGGCGGAGGCGCAAGCGAACGCCTGGAGACGCGGCGACTCGAACGAGCCAAGTGGACCGCGCGCCCGCTCTTCCCGAGCCCTCAGCCAGAGTGTGCCAGGGGAAGAAAGGAGGGGCTCCGCGAGCCGAGCAGGCGGGAGCCCGGGAGAGGAAGGCTCCGCTTGGGGTCTGGCGACGAGAGATGCTGGGGGACCCGCGAGTCCGCAGAGGGAAGAAGTTGCCTGGAGGGAGGAGGCCGCGGCACGCGCCCAGAGGTGGATTGCGCCGAACCTGCATTGCTAAGCGGCCGGCGCCGGGGAAGCCTTCCAAGGTCAGTGTGCAGGGGCGAGGCGAGGCGAGGGCTCGCGCCGAGATTCCCCCAGGCTCTCCTCCTCACTTTGGGGGAAGTTGTGTGGAGCAAGGGGGGCGCGCGCGCTCAGCCTGCGGCGGGTTCTTCCGGACCCAACCCGTTCCTTCGGTAGCGTAGGAAGGATAGCAGACCTGGCTGAGGAGAAGGTGGCACGGGCACGGCCCTGGTCTAGAGCGAGCGTGTGCTGAGGAAAGCTGTCGTCTCCTCCAGGTGACAAGCCGGGCCAGGGGAGGGGATCTTGAAAACCTGCGGCCATATGTTGGAATCCAAGCTGCCTCTCTTCCCTTCCTGGTGCGGGTCGGATGGAAACAGGAGCAGAACTTCGGGTTTAGTCAGTTTCTTGCATTCTGCTGATGTCCCAAAGAATTAAGCTCTCGGTAAGTTGGCAGTGGTGGTGCCTCGCCAACTATCCAGCGAGCTTCATGGCCCTACAGGGATTTTATTCGACTGTAATCGCTGTGCCACACCGTCTGCCGTGCTGCTGTGCCTGAATTTGTCTCTGAGGAATTAAAAAAAATGTTAGAATAACCACCGTATTTTAACAGTTTCCACAGGGGGAGCTATGCTAGCCTGTTAAATCAAAAGCAGCAAAACATCTTGTGGCATCTTAAAGACTATCAAGCTTGACTTGGTGAAAGCTTCCATGGACTTCACTTCCAATCAAAACATTTCATGCATCTGATACAGTGGACTGTAGTCCATGGAATCTTATGCTGTGAGAAATGTGTTAATCCTTAAGGCTCTGTAAGCATTTGCAGGTTTGGGAGTGCCATACACAGCTCTGAATATGAGGGAATTGTATTTCCAGAACTCTGCAGAAATGTTCTTCTTGTTTCTACCTTTGCTTTTCTTTGTTTGCTGTCGTCACCGAAATCACTATGTCATCACTACAGTTTAGCACCATCATAAGCACGTCATGCCAAAGGAGACTGAAATGGTGCATTCATAATATACATGGCACATTCCCTGTTGCTGTTGTAAAACTGATTTAATCCTGATCCAAGGGCACTGGTATTTTAATGTCTAAATGATGTACATATAGGGGGCTACATACATTTAGAAACAAAGGTTTTCGTACATCATTGTAGCTTTAGAATCAGTGGAACTTGTAATAAGAATAATATATTCTGTGGTTTGACAGTAAGTGCTTCCAAGGTACTTATGCAGCATAGGATGGGTATGAAGATGCCAGGGTAGATTTATCTGGAAATGTATCTTAGATGGTCTCTTGAATGGTCAAATAAATAGATTATCAGTTAATTTTTTTTGTGGAAAATGTTATTTTTCTGGCAGTTTAATTGGTGGTTTGATTAAATGTCTTGCCAAAACAACAAACTTTTCTGTTTCATTTCTTTTTAACGCATTCTCTAGAGAAGGTAATTTGTAGCATCACTGCCATAGAGCCCTTGGACATTGACTAGCGTTTCCATTAGTGATGTTCACTGGTGATCATTATGTGTTTTTAAAATCTTTTCTCATTTCCATTGTCGGTGAAATAAAAAACAACAATGACTTCCTGGTAGAAAGGGAGAAATAGTATTTTGTGTGATGTGATCTTTAATGCCCTAATGAGATTTTAAAATTACCCTTTGCACTACTTAATGTGTTAGGTAATAACAATGAGAAATGTAGGTTGTTGTGTCTGTTCCTTAATAGATAAAGAATACCATTAAACATCAAGGAATTCAGTAGCGACATGGTGTTTGCATGCTGTAAACAGATAAGGGCACTTAACTTCAGAAAAAGAAATATCAGGTGCCCTTTCAAAATGTCCTTGTGGAGTGAGTCCTTGGAGGAGCTGTATAATAACTGAGATAATGTAATGTTGCTGGTCTGCCAGTTGAGAATCACTGATTGATTAATTGAAACATTTGTATGGTGATTTGTCAGGGATGAATATTAAAACAAGTTGTAACTGAAGCAGGATAAGCTTTCTTTCTTCTGTTTAATACTTAGATAAGATTGGAGTGTCTTCATGGTTAAAATGTGCATAACTATGAGCATTTGTCAGTAAGTTTCTTTAGATATTAATGAATGAAAATTTAATTTTATTTGCTGCAATTGCTTCAAAGCTTGTTAACAAGTTATTGTAAGGCCCAAACACTTTAAGCAACTGTTATCTTTTCATTTTATCATCACAACAGATGTTTGATTTGCAGAAGTAGTTTCTTAGAACATAAGATCACTGATACATGGTATTTACTCTGCTCATTGCAAAATTCTTTTAAAATATTTAAATACACTGTATTTTTCAGTTCATAAATTATAATCATAACAATGATTGCAAGATCATCAGATTTGATACAAGTGAAATCCTATTTTGGATTTGTGAAGAAATGGTATAACTTCATTATCTAAATAAACATGTATCAAAAGCAATTCTTTTGTTTTCTAACTGGAGTGACTAGAAAAGTATAAAATTGCCATAATTAAAATAACAGTTGAAATACTGCACACACTGTTTTTCTACCATTCTTAGTGAATAATATATATGACAGAGCCAGATATGCTTGTTTATTCATTAGTGTGGAGAAATGTTCATTGAATGGCATTCGTCTTTGCACTAGCTGCTGATTTTCCTAAATTATTGAAGAGGTGTTCCTGAAACCACAACTCTAAAAAATTTGTAGGGTTCATTAAACAAACTGGATATCATTATTCAAAATCAGCCTTTTCATGGTAGTGAACAAATACTTCTGCATGATATCCTTATTGTTTCTGTATTCTTTATCACTATTTTATTTGTACATTGGGCATTGAGTCAGAAGAGTCATTTGATTCCTCACAAGCCAAGATAAGTTAATTAATTTACATGCTGAAAAGAACCCTTTTTCTATATAAAGGTTACATATTTTATGGACACTAAAGGATTCCAGAAGAACATTCAAGGCAATATGTACCCCAGGTATATTTGGCATGAAGGCCAAACATGTTTTGTATTTTCAAATTTAATTCAAGATTCAGAAAAAAATGCTAAAATTTTACATTATGAAATTTTATCAATCACAGTGTAAGCTTTATAATAGGTTTGTTACCTTTGCTCAAGTATAACGATTGAAGGCTTTCAACTGCGTACGGTTAGAAGATGAAAGTCATAAATGATAATGAAATTGTTTTTTAAAATTCAAAAATAGGTATGGAGTGGGATGACCTGACAGCATTATGAATGTTACTGACTTTTCAAATATATACGCCAATAAATAGGAAAGGGAAATTATTGATGGTTTTCAGCTCATGTGCTGTGCTGATGATTGGTTTTTCTCCATGCTTGTTTTGTTTTGCGGACTTTGATACACTAATATATGTTTTTAGTTCTTGGTTTTAAAATACAAGTAATTCACTGCAAATGTGGAAAAATTCAGTGTTGAGGATTATTGTTGAAAAAAAATAAGTGGTAATTTTGTTCTTGTGTATTACAGATTATTATTTGGAGAACCTTAACTTCATCAGATAATGTACTGATGGAGCAATTGGCACAGTTAATCAGATTCTAAATTCTTTCTCTAGGAGAAGGAAGATCCTGAAGAAATTTGCTTACTATAAAGCAAATAGAAGGGTAGATTTTGTAGTCAACAATTCAATTACATCTAAGTCCTGTTGTGTTCTAGTGGCAAGAGAGCTAACACAGTCACCACAGAATAAGACTTCCTGATGTGCGTATCATGCTAGAGGATTCAGCATTTGGTAGTGCCTCCCTAAATAAGCATTTATCCAGTTTCTCAAAAATTGGCCCTTTCATGGAAGAGAATATGCCATTGAAACTTCTCTCATGGTTTCTCAGTTGGTTCATTAGTGCAAGAAAAAATGGTGCTGTAGAAGATGCTGTAGAAGTCGACAATAGTAAACTGATTCCATATTGTTGCCAAGAAACAGAAGCTGAGTATGATGTAAGGGAAATTACTTTTTACTAGGATCAGATGTGGAGTAGGTCTAGATAGTCTTAGATAGCCACTATATCTGAGGTTCAGTCTATCTTCTAAAAAAAGGGAAATATATTGGTCCATTTTAGAAGTTTAAGGATTATAGAAGTAATATATGAAATGCAAGCATGTTCAGTATGAAAAAGTGCTACATTATTGATAAATAGTGTATTGTTAATGAAGCTCTAATATGTCTTGCTGGCTAAAAACTTTCTTATGTCAGGGATGTCATTAGCTATTAAAAGCTTTGACAATCCATCTGTAGACAGTTGTGACAAAGCAATATTACTTTTTTGAGGTCTAGTAAAATATACAGTATTAGTTAGATTGCAAAGTGCTAAAGGTTTTAGAGAAATGGTAATAATTGTTTTGTCTGCACTGATATCATAAGATATTACTGTATAAACTTTCCATCTGCTGAAAGAAGCTGAAAACAATCCATCTTCTGTAATTTCATGGCAATGTCATTAAGGCTATCCACCTTTCTCTCTTAGATGTACACCCACATGTTCACTTACTTTCTGTCTGTCCAACCATCAGCAACCTCTCCTACCCCCACTCTGCCTGCTTTCCTTGTAAGGAAGTGGCCTGTTAACCCTTTAATTGCATTTGCTAAAGCAATAGCTGCCATTTTCACATGCACCTAAAATTATTACTTTCCTTCTATTTAATCATCTGCCCATTCTTTCACATTTTACAATTTTACAATTATACTTTGTTGTCAAACTTTGGATTCAGACTGAGCTTGCATCCAAAGCTTTCTAGGGGCCACATGTGGTCCTGATTCCTAAAGTTTTATAGTCCTTGTCTAGCTAGTAACTCTTCTGTTGCTTTGTTGTTTAACTTTGTACTACACCCAGTTCACTTAAAGACTTAATAGACATTGTATGATAACTCTGCTTTAATTTTGTTTATTTAACAACTCCATTGTTAAACAGTGACCTTAATTTTTTTTAAAGCCATTAATGTCTTGGCTTTGAAGTAATTTTTCCAAGTAGAACCAAACCATCGAGTATAATCATCCTAGATAAGAATGCTGTA